AAGGAAGGAGAAAAACGCCAAACGGTTTATGTATTTGGACATGAAAAATTTTGTCGGTTAGGTGTCTGGAAGAAATAATTTATTTTGCGTCACCTTTGTTTTAATAGACCAAATTGATACGAATTCCATGCCTCGGATAATTATATCAAACGCGCTATGCACAACTTCTCAAAACGGCTGATAAAATTGTAACCGGTTGTGGCATAAAATGCCAACCTCCAAGTTTGCTCGTAAAATATAAACTTGGCTATAGAACAAAAGTGCATGTCATTCGCTTACGCGAATTTCCTCTTAACATTTCCGTACTTGAAGTCTACGAAAAACTAATTAAGGAAAATCGGCATAAAGAGCTGCTCGGACAAATCCCCAAGATTCAGCTTATCCGTCTACTTTCGATTCTCAAAGACCTAATAAATGGGCAGAGCCTAGAAGAGTGTCTGCGAATCAATGCTGAGTTGGAGTGTATCTCTCCAAACGAAGACTTAAATAAAGCAGACGACGAAACTCTTGAAAGGTAAATATTATCATAGTAACAGTATCAGCTACATGTCCCTCTCGTTTTGAATACAGAAATAATTATGATTTAGTTCTTGGCAATCCCCGGTGGTAGGTTTTCTACCTTTAGGGCAGCTTTCCTTGTATCAGTTATTTATAAATAACTGATACAAGGAACAGATAAATCTGTTCAGTGTTTAATGGTAAATATAATCTTTTCATTTTTTTGCCTATTCTTCCTTCGACAATTGTCTGCAAATTACACGAAAAATACCAGCTCGGTCATCCTGTTTAAGTGCACTTATGTTTTCTTAGATTTTTATGCCAAATTTAAATGAAGCCGTAACTGAACACAAGTTAACCTAGCTTCTATTTACCTGGTGCGTTCACGGGTGGCAGATAGTAGAACAGCCTTCGACGAACTTTAGTTGTGAAATAAGCAGGCCCGTGGTCTCGCGAATAAGCAGTCATGGATCAGCAGCAAAAGTGTTACCAGGGCTGAGGTCTGGCACACCGACTGCTTTATAAAATACCGCAAGTCCCAATTATAGCACTGTGACATGGCGAGCATGAAGCGCTATAAAGTAGGTTTGCTTGCCACCGCTGCCCTGTAGTTAGGTTCTTGAGGTGCTAGAAAATACAACCTCGAACAGATAATCCGAGCGGCTGTTGGGGGCACACTTGTATTCAACATCCCCATGCAACATGTCTACTTACGGTACTACGATCCATGTTACGGCGTCCACCGGGACCGACGGTTTCTGCAACCTTTGCCTAGCGGTGCGAGCGAATATTATGCGAGCTGGACTACTCAATTGGGAAAGGACACTTGGTGTGGGATGCTGTAATGAGCGAACGCTGCTGGAACCTCATACTCAAAGTCTCACGGCGCGCAGTCTCCCTCAATACTACATGGACATTTGATGCCTGTCCGAAGTCCGAATACACGACACAGGCGCCCGAGAAATAAAAATCCGTGGAATCGGTTCCCACCTCAACCTGTATCACAGGGGCCCACGCGACTCATATAGTAGACACTGTGTGGTTATTGCTCTCTCGATACGAGCAAACCGTGAACATCTAGCATGGGGAACATTCAATGACCGGACAGCTTACGTTCGATTAGAGGGTCGCCTTACGAACATCTTTGTCGTGTCCGTGCATGCACCAACATCAGCTGCCGAACTTCTATTCGGAGCTAGTTGAACGACTTACTCGCTGTGATATGTCGATTGTCGCCGGGGGTGGAGTAGCCGGACTGTACCCGGTGACCCGTCAAGCAGCCACATTATTGATTGTTGAGTTTGGCTCTCGATTCGACAATGGTGAGGGGATGCTGCCTTTTGCTAATCAGAACTGACTGTTTTTCAACAACACATACTCTCAACATCGTCACAAACATCTCCTGACCTGGTACTGAACCGACGGCTGTACCGCTAGTCAGACCGATTACATTCTTGTTGTTTCAAGTTTTCGCAGTTGGGTCCACGATAGCAAGTCGATGCGAGCTGCCGAAACTGGTAATGCCCACGGGTCTGACCATGTTCTTGTCCACACATGCCTGAAGATTCATCTCTCATATGCAGCCAAAATGCCGCTCGCATGACGCCTTGATGTTGCAAAACTCTGGCATACCCGCATTAACGAGGCCCCAAACACAGAAATCCGGTCCCGTCTTATGACTTGAGCCGACGGCGAAGGCAGTAGCAAGTGGTCATCACTGAGAACATCCGTCTCTGGGGTAGCCTAAAAAAATATCTAATTCAGTCAGCGGCGCCGCCATGACTGCAACAGTGGAAGAAACTGCAGCTGTCTGCCCAGACGGCTCATGCCATGTCCCGCGACGATGTTTGCTTCCGAAAGCTGACAGGAAAGTCGGCAAGGGATGACCGGTAGAAGTATTGGCCAAAAACAGCCACTTCCATGGAGCATGTTGGGTGCACGGACGAGCGTGGAGAAACGAGCCCACTCGTGGTTACTGGGGCTCAGGCATCCTTGCACCTGTATACATGAAGCGAGATAAAACAATATGCGAGAACTATAGCAGTTTAAGTATTATCGACGTCGCTGCGAGGTTGCGCGTTCATATCACGTAAGGGTCACCAGTTATAGGAGTTAAGGCTTAGACGGTTAACCCTAAATGCTACAATCTCCCAGGCCCGGTTCCTTGGGAGATGGGAGAAGTCTTGGAAAGGCCATAGTAGAAGGAAGAGTATATTGTGTACACAAGGGAAAGGAGAATAGATGGAAAGAAGTTGGACTTC